TGCGAATGTTACCAAAGTTCTCGGCATATTTGTTGTTTTGCAATATTTTCCACTTTAAAAGGGTGATCTTGAAGCGTAAACTGGTCCAATTGTTTTAAAAACATGCCTAAGCCACGACAAAGTATTCAAGGTAAATGTTTTTCGTCTTTGCTTTGTATTTTTTTACATTTGTAGCTACGAAATTGGCGTCACAAATTTTAACGAAATTTGCGATGTCTTTTTCACTGTTTAGTGCTTGAAATATTTGCTAAAACCGACCGGGAATACTTAGAGTTTTCATCGTAGAATGGCGTGGTTACATTTATTTGCTCTTTGACTAAAATGTTTAGCTGTATTATTGCTAAACATGCCGTTTTTTGAATTTGATTTTCAACTAGGTTGAGACATCCAACCACGCCATCAATCCCAGTAAAAACATTAGGTCACGTCAGCTAGTTTACTATCCATTTATTTTATTATCCATGGGAAGACCGGGTCGAGAAATTAGAAATTATACAAAAATTCGTCCAGTTCCATTTGTTCACATAAAAAAGGCTTACAATTGCTCTGTTTCGAATTCGTCCAGTTTCGTGCGCCCCATGTGAGCGAGGAATACGAAATTTGTTTTGCCTCAGATGAACTTGGCGCACAGGGAGTCCAACTAAGAGCTGTGTTATGAATATGAATAAAACATTAATTAAACGTAATATGAATAAAACATCATAACGTAATATATTTAAATTATTGCACTTACTTGTATAAATCATAAGAGCTTGCATTTGCAGTGAATAGCTTCAAACAGGGCGCTTATATACGCTCAGAAACATTGCTTCGAACGATTGTTCAAATATGGCGAATAAATTGACAAAACGAAAATATTACACGACGTTCCAACGAAAATAACAGCAAGGATTGCGGGCGCGCGAGCGAAAAGGCAAGGGACTAAATAAATAGAAAGGTGAAACAAATATCACGTGACTTTTTAAAATGCTTCTAGACTATCCGTTTAAGCTTTTTGTGGTATTTTTAGGGCTCAGTAGATGTTCTCTTACATGAGCAAGCCTAGTAATTACCAAAAAAGCACTGACAATGTAATTTATGTGATTTATAACAACGGACATTCTCAGCCGTTTTCGCGAGATGTGTTCCATAAGTAGCCTGTTCTCGTGACGTATGACTAAATAATAATAAAATTAAAGAATGTAAAAAAAACCGTTGGTCGCTACATTTAAACATTTCGTATTAGCCGGTACAGCTAAACATTGTTTATTTTCATTAATTAAGCGCGTAGGCGTTGTTGGAGTTGGCAGGAGGCGTTTTGGAATTTTCCGAGAGAACAGGCTACTTATGGAACACATCACACGATCGCATTACCGGTGTTTCATCCCTTCTATTAATAGGGAGCTTTAGATTTGACTACGAGTACGACTACGAGTACGAGATTCGTCAAGCGAAACGCATGCTGTATGCTTACGCCATCCCGTACTGACGCGAAAAAGTCGTAGCCGTCGCCCATCTGAGTACGAAATTGTGGAGAAATCTCGTAGTCCTTACGACGACTTTTCAAAAAAAAAAAGAAAAAAAAAAGAAAGTTGGCTTTTTTTTGTTTACAAAAAATAATTTGTAGCATTTATATATCGTTTATCCGGCGCAAATAATATATTAGTACTAAATATCTGGCTTGTTTTTAATGTTATGACTTATTTTCACGTTTTGTATGGGATTTTAGTCTGCAGGAGATTTAGTTTATGAAACTTTTTCTCTCGTTGTTGGTTTACTGCTATAAAAGCAACATTTGAATGGAAACGAAAACGACTACGATAATTTCCTCGCACGCGATCAAATCTCGTACTCGTAGTCAAATCTAAAGCTCCCTAATATCTATTACCCTCGCCTTCCGCTCGCGCCCGCAATCCTTGCTGTTATTTTCGTTGGAAAGTCGTGTAATATTTTCGTTTTGTCAATTTATTGATTTTATTCGCCATATTTGAACAATCGTTCGAAGCAATGTTTCTGAGCGTATATAAGCGCCCTGTTTGAAGCTATTCACCGCAAATGCAAGCTCTTATGATTTATACAAGTAAGTGCAATAATTTAAATATATTACGTTATGATGTTTTATTCATATTACGTTTAATTAAGGTTTTATTCATATTCATAACACAGCTCTTAGTTGGACCCCCTGTGCTTGGCGTTCGGCAAACTCCAGCTATAGTCTGAACAGTCTTCATAAGACCAAGATCCATAAGACCAAGTCTAAAGCGATAGTTCCTATAATTACAGAGGTATATCTCTTCTTGACGTCTTATCTAAACTACTGGAAAGGCAGGTGTATGATGGTGTATTTAATATTATTTCCCCACATTTTTCTCAATGGCAACATGGTTTCTTGCCTGGTAAGTCAACTGTATCGCAACTATCTCAAGTAGTTCATCAGTTTGGTAAGGCTCTTGAGAAGAAGCAACAAGTAGATGTAATATATCTCGATTTTTCCAAGGCATTCGACAAAGTTTCTCATTGTAAGCTACTATTTAAATTGGAATGCCTTGGTATAAGGGGATCTTTACTGGGTTGGTTCAGGTCCTACTTAACTAATAGAAGGCAAAGAGTTGTGATTAACACTATTTCATCTGACTTTCTTCCTGTAACTTCTGGGGTTCCCCAGGGGTCAATCCTAGGACCCCTACTCTTCTTAATCTTTATTAACGATATGCCTAATGTAACATCAAAGGACACGTCTTTACCACTCTTTGCCGATGATTCAAAGTGTTTTCGCCTAATACTAGGTCAGAAGGATGGGGATGAATTACAAGATGATTTAAATAAATTATTGACGTGGTCATACACCTGGGGAATGGAGTTTAATACTAGTAAATGTAAGGTCCTTAGAGTTGCTCGGATTAAATCTGTTTCTGAGAGAGACTATCACCTTGGAGGAATAAAGTTAGAACGAGTGGTTGTTGAAAAGGATCTTGGTGTTTTGATTAGACAGGATTTGAGCTGGAATGATCATGTTGATTTTATTATAAGTAAGGCCCAAAAAATGTTAAAACTCTTATATCGTACATGAAAAGATATTTGCGATGTTAAAACAAAAAAATTACTATATATAACCTGGGTTCGATCTCGCCTCGAGTATGCTTCTGTTGTATGGTCACCTTATACCAAGAGAACTATATCAAGTTTAGAGAAAGTACAGAGGAGAGCCACTAGATTTATTATTGGCAGAGATTATTCTGAGTATGAACGCTTAAGTAAGTCGAATTTACTTCCTTTACAATATCGAAGAGAAATAAATGACATAATCTTCTTCTTCAAATGCTTCAAGAATATCTATGCAGTTGATATATTTGAGTATATTTCTTTTCGCTCCTGTTGCAAGTCACTTAGAAACATAGACCATTTAACTCTTGCGATCCCTTTTAGCAGGACCGAAGCTTTTAAGAACTCATACTTTGTACGTATTTGTCGTCTTTGGAATGACTTACCGCTTGTGATAAGAGAATCTAATAACTTAGTCACTTTTCGTAATAAGTTACTTCAATTTTATAAGGATAAATTTTCTGAAACCTGTTTGTTGTAATAATAATTAACGTATGTAAATAATAATTTTTAATAATGACTGAGTAGGGTGGAGCCGATTAGTAGTTAGGCTTCAAATATATTTGTACTTAGATATATGCATTCTTATATGTATTCTTATTGCAGGCTAATAGATTAACTCACATCAGGTGGCTTATGATAGGGAATCTTGAATTCTGTTTTAATTAAGCTCATGCACCTCAAATTACATCATAATTATATAGTTTTCCTAATTTAATTTGATGTATATTTGGAAATTGATTAAAGTTTAAAGTTTAAAATCCGTACTCGACAAGAGTATAGTGAACCGCAGGGTAAAGCTAGGCTTGTCATCGATTGAAATGCTATTGTCTCAGCGTAGACTAGGCCCTTTACTCAGCTGACTTTGTCAGGCGTGGTATATTTTGGGCTGGCATTTGGTAAGTATATGACTTCACATGCGAAATAAAAGCAACTTTTATTTCTCACTTTCGCCCTCCCTCCACCCCGCCCCCCAAATCGCTTAGGTACCAGTCTTCTCATGTGAAAAAACCCGCTAAAATTAAAAATAGAGGGCCTAGATCTACGTTGCTACTGTAACTACCCAATGCCAGATGACTGACAGAATAGCATCATACAACGGCGAAATATTAATAAAAATCCAGAAAATAATTGTGTCCCCGAGTTCTCATGCACTTGATCTCACCTAACCGGACTGGCCCGTTCCGCATATGAACAAAACATAATTTTTATATGCGATAACGAAGGCATACAGATCGCACTCATGCAGGTGAAAAATGAATATGTTTTTGGAGAATTCTGAAACTCGAGACAAAACCTACGTGCCTTTATTTAATCTGCACCCATGATTCGATATTCCAATCTAAGGTACTGTAATGACTAACAATGTAATGCTGTTTTTGAATAGCTGGAGGGTTAGTGTCGTACCTTACTATGTGACTGCTCCAGCTATTCAAAAAGGGACCGGCTAAACAGAGGGTTATGAAGTGGAGAGTTATCTCGGAGAGTTATGATTTCGGAGAGTTATGTTCAAACCACGCCCACTTTTCCCAACGACACACCCAATTTCTTAACTCTCCCGACGTTTCCTTGAACTAACATGAGAGAGTTATGTTTGACGTAACTCTCTCTCGTTAACATTATGAAGATGTTAGAGAGTTATCATTTTTTATAACTCTCCGCGTTCATGGTTGTGGCAATGAAGAGAGTTAAGTCAGTTTTTTGAAAAAAACTTCCACATATTAGTAAATTTTTGTAAATTTATTTTTTTCTCAAGTGTCAGCTTTAACATCTCACGCTAGTAGAAACTAATAGTACTTTAGTACTTACAAAGTTCATCTATATGTAAATGTTTATATAAATATACATGCTCACTTAGATTATCTAGCAAGACCAGCATTCAGATACATATTAGATAGAACCAGAAAATCTTTCCAATGTAATGCCCTATTGGCTGATATGGGAAAGTATTTCCAAAACCTGAATTGCTGAAAGATTCAATTTTCTTAATTTTCTTGCAACTATGCTTGCCGTATTTACTGCCAAATACACGTCAAAACATGCTTCTGGGGGTACTTTGACCCTTCTGATCTCATTGTTTTGACCGAGTCAAGTTGTATTTTCCTGTTTGGACGCACGCTATTGACACGCTACAAACTGAAATACCAAAATATAAGATGAAAATCTGAAGAAACAAACTTTACTAAGGTTTTCTCAACCTGACTTAACTCTATTCATTGCCATAATCGTGAACGCGGAGAGTTATAAAATATGATAACTCTTTAACATCTTCATAATGTTAACGAGAGAGAGTTACGTCAAACATAACTCTCTCATGTTAGTTCAAGGAACGTCGGGAGAGTTAAGAAATTGGGTGTGGTCGTTGGGAAAAGTGGGCGTGGTTTGAACATAACTCTCCGAAATCATAACTCTCCGAGATAACTCTCCGGTTGGTAACTCTCCCTTTAGTCATACCCCTGTTCAAAAACAGTATTGACACTCAAGAAAAGCTCAGATTGAATCGCCACTCATTGAGTGTGCGTGAGCATTTAGAATACAGGCGTTATTGTGGTGCAACGCAACATAATGGGTAATAAAGCTATCAAGGGCTAGGCACAAGCAAAGTATTGTCAGTAGTTTTCGTCAGAACTGCCTGAAAAAGATTAACCGCTTGCCCCATAAACATTCAGACAAGGCGGTATCTTGAAGCACAAAACTTTTTCAGGTATGATTCCTGATAACAAAAGTGTTGGGGAATACTGACAACACTGGACACTCGCATCTTTAAAAAGTTGGGCATCATGCTTTACCGAACCCTAAAGGAATTTGCAGATACAAAATTTCAACTGACCTATTCGGGAGCAGTTGGGAAAATGCATCACTTATGATTATTCACTAAAGTATAGGGCCTCCAACAGCAATTGACCCCGCAGCCTGTCGTTTCATGTTCCAACCCAGGGCCTTTTTAAGAATTCGACTGTGGGGGTCATCTGCAAAAATGGACTATACAGGGTGTATAAAAAAAACTGAACAGATTTGAAATTGGTCTCAATTTCGTAAAACACCTATTTGTATCCGGTTTTTTATATATATATAGCTTCTTTGGGTACTTATAATGTAGAATAATGAAAAAAATTTCTTGAACTCAAATTTTGTGAACCAGGGGGGTGTGTCTTTTCCAACAAACTAAAAATGGCTCGCGCACAAAATTTAAAAGTTGTAATCATATTTTGAATTAATAGATGGAAAATTTGTCGGGTTTTTAATTACTGTACAAAATTTCAGGCAATTTGGTTTAGTTTAAGCCCTTTAACTATTCACGCAAAGTTACATTTTTCCTAAAAATCAGCTATTTGCATGCTTAATTAATGCCTTTGCCTAATTTGCATATGTTAGCAATATGCAAATTAGGTAAACGCATTAATTAAGCATGCGAAAGGCTGATTTTTTAGAAATAAAATGAATAGTTAAAGGGCTTAAACTCAACCAAATTGTCTGAAATTTTGTACAGTAATTAAAAACCCGACAAAGTTTCCATCTATTAACTCAAAATATGATTACAACTTTTAAATTTTGTGCGCGAGCCATTTTTAGTTTGTTGGAAAAGACACATCCCCCTGGTTCACAAAATTTGAGTTTGAGAATTTTTTTTCATTATTCTACATTATAAGTACCCAAAGAAGCTATATGTATAAAAAACCGGATGCAAATAGGTGTTTTGCGAAATTGAGAGCAATTTCAAATCTGTTCAGTTTTTTTTGATACACCCTGTATACTTTGGTGTGCTGTTGCATGTAATAGTAGGGGTCTGGGGGGCCTTTTCCCCAAAACATGTGGTATTTTTCCACCCCTAGGACTGCATTTTGTGCGTTTTCTGAAACAGATTTTTGTATATACAGCGTTACATTATATCGTAGATAGACTGAATCTTCAGTTAAGTACTTGGACAGTATGTTTATGTAAATAACACAACTCGGTCACTGCCTTGTTTAGGCCAGCGTCAAACAACTCAAATCTATAGGGTCTGGAATATGCTATCCAGTGGGAAATGTTTAAAATCTAAGGTATTACAATGTTTAGCATTCGTAATAGTTAAAAGGGCCCTGCTCTGACCACTGGGTTGCAGAGGGCAGTCTTCAAAAGCTAAGCTATATGGTATACAAGTAAACTAGTCGGATCATGGGCGTGATGTTCAACAGAACAATACCAGACCAATCCGGTGGCAGCACTATCTCCTTGACAAGTAAAAACGTCTGGCAGTGGGGGACATCAGGGCAAATTAACTAAGGGTCTTGTCTATGCTTATAGTTGCATTTTCTTCAACTGCTCCCTGATACAGTATGTCTAAAATATGCATCTAATTTTCACTTAAAATTCCAATGATTTATATCTATATTTTCCAAGGGTGGGTTGACTACAAAATTTTTGTAGTTCCTATAACTACAGCTACTTCAAAAATATGTAGTTAGCTACAACTATACTGCTGCCTTTGTACAAAGGTAGTTCGCTACTGACTACAGCTACTGCTTAAAAAATGTAGCGAACTATTTCGCTATTTTGCTATGCTATATTTTTTAGTTTTACTGTATTTGGAGCATCTACTAACTCAGGCTGTAATGTAACCTATAACAAATCGACTTACGAGTAGCAACAGTAAACACAAAGCAACATTTTTGTAAGCACTACAGTGTTCAGGAGTGCAAATTGACTATTGAGTATTGATTTTAAGCAAACTGTGTCTCAATATCATGCTATTCTATTGAAAAGTAGTCAACTACTTGGCTACTTTTAGGCAAAATGTAGTTCGCTATAACTAAAGCTAGTGTTTTAGAAAAGTAGTCAAAAACTACTGGCCACTTGAAAATTGTAGTTCGCTACAGTAGCAAACTACAACTACTTCGCTACTACCCACCCTTGATATTTTCCGCATTTTACAACATTTTGCAACCAAACTTTGCAATATTTTAACATGATCGTTCTAGTTGTGGTGATGGATTTTGTTCTTCTTGCATAGACGAAAATTTAGTGTATAGCTGGAATCATTCACTGACAGCATAGCTGCATGAAATGTTTGCATTAAATATGGCTGGGCTGAAGATAATTATATTCATGAGGATAAACGCTTCTTATTTTGAATTTGGAAGGGTGTCTTTTCTGCATGGTAGCGACGGTATTTTGTCGAGAAATATCAGTCGTGGATACCGAACTTGTGATTTCTAGTATCCAAGCCTGGAAATAATTTTTGGGGACCTGCCTGTCAAAATGACCAGCACCAATGAATTTGTGCCTTTCATGAAACAAAACGTACCGGTCATTGTACCGGACTGCTAAAAACATAGGATACAAAATATGCAATGGTTAAAATCATTAAATACATAGAGATTACTGTATGGTTGGTGAGCGTGTACGATTTTTATGTACGAGTCGTGAAAGATTGCAAACAAATGAGGGAGCGAAGCGAACAAGTGAGTTTAGCAATCTTTCACAACAAGTGCACAATGAAAATTGTACAAACGAACCAACCATCCAACCAAGTCAGTTATTTTCTTCGACACTTTAATTTTTTTCGCGGTTCAACAAAAAATTCCCGCCAAACTCACAAATGACGTTTCCACTTGGAAGGAAGTTTGATCATCATTCATCACGAGGCAAATAAGAAGGAATTTTTATCATAGTGGAAACACTGCACAAACATGGCATCGTGTTTAAAGCACCGTGTATTTAATAAACCGGATAATTTTAAACTTTATAGCACAAATAATAGAGAATTTGTCGACAGGAAGGTTATTTTAGTTCAGTTTAACCACTGAAATGAGCGCCGAACAAAGTGACAGACATAATCAAATTTGTGCCTGTCAAAACACTGCAAATCGCGTATTTGTGCTGGTCAATGACTGTGACCGGACGCTTATTTCCAGGCTTGCTAGTATCCAAATTTAAATTTTACTCTGTCTAACTTCAGGCGTTTTACTTGTCAAGTAAAATTGTCCGGTGTTAGACAGATTAACCCATTGAGTGGCAATTAACACTCTCCCCCTGACGAGTAAAATCTTCTGGCGTTAGACAGAGTGAAATCACAAGGTAGGGCGCATCTGAGCACATTTCAACTTAAAGGGTAAAAATAATAAAGTTAGGTGCTCTTGGGCACATTGCAGCTAAAAATGGGTTAACCTATTAAGTTGTATTGCAGTCTACTTTATTGTATTACTCTGTCAAACGCCAGACAATTTTACTTGTTGAGGGAGAGTGCTAAACCATAATGGGTTTAGCAAAGTACATGTAGCAAAATTTTCTGTAACCATTAATTATAGAGTAAGCAGTTCTTGCTTAAAATTAAAGTTGGCAATTTTTCAAGTTTGTAAATTTTTCATTCTTAGTTTCAAGCAAGAACAGCTGTCAGAATGGCTCAATTTCACATGTACGACAGCTGTGCTGACAAAAATATCACTTGCTTAATTAACCCATTGAGTACCAGCACTATTCTCAAAGTTGATGGGTAAAATCATTTAGGGCAAATTTGGGTGCAACACAGGTTAAGCTCTCTAGTAATAAATAGGCTGTTGCGGTATTTGAAATAAACTGAAAACCAATACATGTACTGGGAAAAAATACCGATAATACCAATATTTTTTCATGATTGTATTTGCTTAATTTTACGCAAAATTTTCTGTTTTCATACGACGCCAAAAAGCTGTGATACAATAAGAGAAATGTCCATGTTGGGAATTGAAAATGTGCATATTTGCATTGATTATCTGCATTTAGAATGAATCATGTGTTATATTTTTGGCTGGGAAATTTTGTTTCAAAACATGTTATTCAACAGCAAATTAGAAACAAAGATTGTCCTATCTTACCAGATAAATAATGTCCAATGAGGTTAGTTTTTGTTTTTTTAAAACATTTGTAATCCAGCATTGTTTTTGTTCTAAAGGTGTTCTAAAAGTTCAATTTTTGACTAGCAAAATGACATATTACACCTTGCAACAACAAAACAAATATGTTTAGCTCCTGCTCTAACAATAATTACGGATTTTCCCACAGAGTTATGACCATTCAGTGGAATGCCGGGGAATTATTGAGCGATTGAACCTTATATTCGGCCATGGCACACAGGGATTTAGACTGTATTAGTTATGTGTATCAGGTACCGGGGACTAGAGTGAATTAGAGCAAGGTCTTGGTCTAATGCCCCGATGTACCCCGGGTAGGGGGTGCGGGGTATTCCACTGACTGGTGCATTAGCACATTGATTGTCTTTGTCCTTCTGAAATAATTCCAATCAGTGCTTGAAAAGTTTGATGATGTTTAACGTAAACATGATATCGATAATACCACGAAATATCGATATTCTGATATATCTAAAATTTCAATATTGAATACTCGGTATTTATAAAAAATGATAATTATCGGTATATCGATATACCGCAACAGCCTAGTAATAAATCATTATACATTTAATAAAGCAATATAATACCTGGCTTGAGACAATATGCCATTTTCCTTCTCTGCTCCAGTCTTAGACATATCATCAAGTTTCAATCCACATAGTACATCACTTTGTAAACCACGGAGAACCACAGTCTCGCACTCGCTCGTTGCTGCATCCTCGAAAGCTGTAATCAGATCTGCCATTATCTTTAGAGAGGTATTTTTACGCTTGCATGTTTCTCGATTTAGCGTGATATAACAATAGTCATCCTCATATTCAACAGATACATTGTCTTTTTGCTTTGTAGACACAACCGGTAGCTTGCACACAGGCTTTGGCACAGTTTCCTCCACACAAAGCATCCTTGTGAGAGCTTTCTTTGATTTCAAAGCAGGTTTACATTCTTTCAAACTAAGGCTATCACAACAGTATGCCTGGAATGGTACTCTATTAACCACAGACACATCTTGTTCACTTTCAACAAGATACTCGCGTAAATAGTAATTATGTTTGTCCATCACAATATCATCTGACGACACCCAACAGCTTGTTCCATTCCGCCATTCAACAAGAAATTCATAAATACCAGTTGGGCTTCGACGCATGCCCAAAACTCTATCGAGCTCTTCCGAATGCTCAGATGGTTTCGTTACTTCTGTACCTTTCACCTTACTAGTAACTTTATTGACCTTCCTGTTCGTTTTATCAGTCTGTTTTGCCATTTTTCGACCATTCACTTTACCAAATGCTTTTTGCTTTACTTTACAAATAACCCCATTTTTCCTATTTCTCTTTAAAACATCATTCTTATCAGTTTTCTCATTTCTTCGAAGCTGATTTTGCTTTAATTTCTTAGCAAATGCCTTTCTCATTTTTAAATCTTTCAAACACTCAAGTCCTTCAGCTTGGGAGGGAAGTGTGTTAGCCTCAGAATCCGTCAGCTTGTCGTTTAATGCAAGCTTTTTCCTTGGCCTTTTAGTAGTCTTTACAAGACGTTTTTTCTTTGACAATTTGCTTCCAATATCACCAGTTATTTTGCCAGACGATTCAAATTCACTGCTTTCAATATTTTGAGTATTTTCAGTCAAAATACATGTCGAATTCACACTGCATTCTTTACAACTTTTACAGTTTTCCTTTTCGAGAAAAGATCCCGTACTGTCGTTGTGAATTGCACACGACACTTCAACTTGGCAGTCTTTTGAAATTTGTTTGGGGCTGACGAATGTTTGCCTCGTTGACGAATCACCCTTCGAAGCTTCGTGTAAATTTTTACGTTTGCACGATGTATTTACAAGTCCTGTTGAACAGTTTTCAACGGTTTTCTCGTTTACATGGTGTGTCTCTGTCGCAGTCTCTTCGCTTGACTCCATTAACGACTCAAAGCGTGCCCTGCTATTGTCCTTGTTCGAAATATCAACACAACAACCAGAGGTTGTTAAAGAATGCTCTGCTGTCTGCTTTGACATCGAGCGAAAACTATCAACAATTTTCGTTTCGCCTTTCACAGCATCGCCTTGAGAAGTCTCTGAACACATTATTTCATTGCTAAGCGAAGTATCTGGGTGGGATTTATTCTTGTATTGTGTTTCGTGAGCGACATGTGAAATTTTATCGTTCGAAATTGGAGAAGTGTCTTCAAACACATCGGGGTACTCGACATTTGCAAGACATTCTCCTTCGCTGAGATTATCCGTATTTCTGTCCACCTCAAACCCCGTTACAGAAAACAGTAAAGTATCTTCGTGTTCCTTAAAGCCATTTACAAGTAATTTACTAGTGCTGCTTGGCAGCTTTCTTTTCCGACGGCTTCGTTGTTTAATTTTCAATCTATTTTGGCCATCTTTCCTCGCACTTCCGTCGCCACTGTCCGAATCTGTGTCAAGATATCGCGAAGGAATTCGTGAAATTCTCCCTGCACAAGTATATCGAGGTTCCTTTGCCTGTCGAATACCATTACACGAATACGAGTTTTGTCTTTCAAGGCTTTCATTGTGATTGTTATGCCTGAGCGGCCATTGCGAAGGGCTGCTGTTGACATTGCCACTTTGCTTTGCTTCGAGAGCTTCGTCTTGATTGTAACTTGAACCATTAGTGAATTCATTTCCCCCATCGCCACTGCCATTGCAAAAAGCATTTTCTTCAGGCAAATCCATCTCATTGCTTAGGAAGGAATCATTTTTCATTGCTTTACTACGAGAACGAACAGATTTTAAAGTTTGCAATGTGGACAATAGCTGAATTTTCATTCAGTAAGCGCGTGCGCCATTATTTAAATTCCAAGCATGTGCTTTAAACGGCATACCGCTGACAATTACAACACGATTACGTTTGAATATTAAATTTTAATTTCCATACTTTTTGACACCAATGTCGTAATATTATATTTAAATTTGTTAAACTTCATTGTTTGTTTTATCTATGCGTGTCAAGTTGTTATAATCTTATTCAGAGTGGGTTGCACTAAGGGACGTAAGGGTATAAAAGTCAGCTCCGCCACGCTACTCAGGGTGTTCCAAAAAAAGTACCCTGGGCTCTATAGAAATTATCCTATTGTTATAATTTGAATGCCTGAGCACTATGCTGTACACAAGAGTGCGTAAACACAAAATCCTGTGCTTAACAACAATAGGATAAATTTCTATACGTAGAGGGTACTTTTTTGGACACCCTGTATAGCTAGGCCCCAGAGGACAGGTTCGACTAAGGGAAAGTACATTTATTATGCCGGGGGGGGGATGAAGATGTTAAGGGGTGCTCCGAAATATTTTCTGGCATTAAAGGGGGGGCTCTGAAAGTTCTTGATATACTGAAGGGAGGGCTCTAAACTTTTCAAAGGTTTGACCCAGCAAATTAAAGTTAAAATTTTTACATCAGTTTCAGGTAAAATTTGCGTAATAAAGTAATTATTTTTGTGAAATGATAACCATTTTTGTAAAATACAGTCAATTTACATGCAATTTGTTTGCGAAATTTGCTTTAGAAAACGCCAGAAATTTAGTCCTAAAGCTTTGAAAATGTAACAATTTTCTCCCAGACCCCCCTTTTCTCCCAAAACTTAGTATAAGAGTGCCAATCAATCACAAAAAGCTTTATTATAATTATTACACGTATAATCCTCTGACATCCCCCCCCCCACCCCAAACGTCAGATGCTTTGCTACGTCCCTGATGGTTGTATTCGAAACCGATTTCAGTTTTAAGATATCCTTAGTCTGCTCTTTTAAATGGATACATGAAATCACCTATAGCTTATTTTAAATTTTTTTGCGCCAGGTTTGTGAAGTAATTTAAAAGCATAATACAAAGCATATACAATTTAAAAAGCATATACAATTTGCAAGAATGATATGTTCTATGTTTACGGGATATTTCGTACAAACGGGATGGAAATTAAAGAAATTGAGCATACTGGCACTTTTGCATGCATTTTTGACAGGCATGCAAAGACATTTGCAACAGATGCCGGGAGATACGTTGGGTGGGGGCAACATACTGTAAGGTTCCAGCACATTACCCTGATCCAGGAAATCCTGGACACTACATGAACGTGTTCAAGACTCCGAATACTCTCAATGATGGACAACAACAACCTGTTGATAATTCCACCCCTAGAGCCAATTTAAAATGTTTTAAAGACGGTGCCATTTCATCTGGCGCTAGGTGAGTGGAAAGAAGCAGCAGATCGGTAGTTTTGTTGAGGAGAAGCACTTGAGTATATCAGACATCTTGAGGAACTGCAAATTGTATCTATGATAAGAGAGAATTCCGGATTGTACTCCTTCGATTCCGAATTCTAGAGGGGGGGCATTGGAAATTTTAAAAACTTCGAGGGGGGGCATCGAAATTTACCGATAACCTCAACAGGGGCCCTGTAAAAATATGAGCTTTTTTCAAGACATCTTCATCCCCCTCCCTCGGTGTAATAAATGTACTTTCCCTAATT